CTCCATGATATACCCCAAACCTTGTTCCAATTAACAAGCCCCCCCCCCCCCCCCCAATTGCAGGTACTTCGCGAGTCACCTCTCGGATTGGGGGTTCTTGCGAATGGAAGCTTCGCAGACGCAGGCGACCAACACTCTTCGTCTGCGTAGTGACCTGAGGCTCTAACGCTCCAAACCCCTCGGGACCACAGGAGCCCCAAACCCGAAGCCTACATCGAAAGCCAAAACCCCACATGGCTGTGCCTTTCAGGCCATAGCCGACATGACACCCGACATTGCCGTCATCACAGAGACTTGGCTACGATCTCTCCCGGATTTGCCCAGGCCACGAAGCTTCGCGTACGAAATACTGATGACTCCACACCAAGAGTATTGCAGCTGCATGGAAGCGAGATAAGTTCGTAGACAGACGCACTTGGATCTGGCGTCGTAGTAGTCATCACAGCCAGCGATTCTGTGTCAGCCTACGATCAAGTCTGCCGTGTTTTGGAAGTTTGTTGTGGCACTGGGCATCTATCATTTCAGAGTTTGTTTCGGTGTGTTCGTCTTCGAGCCTCCCCCGAGGACACCAAGCCAGCAAAATCGAAGCCTGCCCTCTGAGGAGCAGTGGAAGGAGAAGCCGACAATCCTCGAGAAGCTCGACACACTTGAGAGTGAGCATGATAAATCGTAGCAGAAGTGATGACAGTAGCAATGGAATCATGGTAATGCCTCGACTACCTGTAGCAATGAAGGGCTCGTGGAGCATCGTCAATACAGAGTTTGAGTGTGTGACATGCCCCTCGACAGGCATGTATCACATCTATATTAGAGATGTGTACAGATAGCTATAGCTGCAGCTAGATGCACAGGCTGCATGATATGGCCGGATTTTACGCAGCAAAGCTCTGTATATCAAAATGTTCGCCATCATTATCTACTACTGAGCGGTGTTATTTTCGAGTTGCACTCGGTTAATGGCTCATGTGATTTTTCTTGCCCTTTCAAACCCCGGGTGCTCTTTCAAATTACTCGGTCTTGGTCGCAGCCTTGCGGCTGCTTCAATGCTTGTAGAAAGAGGGCAGAAGCGGATGCATAATTGTATTTCCCGCGCCATGTTCGCATAAGCGGTCTCACGGGTTTTGGTGCTTAGTTTTGCGTTAAAGACCCTCAGGAAGATCAAGCAGAAGACCAACAAATACTACGCCTTCTGCCTCGGTGGTCCGCAGGACTTCCCGAAAAGAAGGGAAGCCTTAAATATACATTATATATATATGATATATATATATATATACATATATATATATATATCTATATATTTGTATATATTAAGGAAGGAAGCCTCAGAAGCTCCAAAGAAGGATCCCCCGACAAAGGCAATCGCTTCGGCTTCCCATTTGGCAGCTTCGGCTGTCTACAAGCCAGGGGCCTGAAAGGGTTTGAAAGGAAGCTTCCGGTCCGAGATCTGAAGCCTGCATGACGTGCTCGCCGTTGACAGGAGAAGTGGTGGGACGGAGACATCCTTTACAGAGCGGACCTCTTCGAAGTCGTGATGCTGGGCTTGAAGGCTGTAATCATTCAGGCGCTGTTTTTTTCCTCCTTTGTCGGTCGCGGTCGGTACATGTGTGGGTGTGTGTGTGTGTGTGTGCACGTGCGAGCGCCCGAGCGCTTTTGGAATCCCTGAGCCGGCCGCCTCGGATGGTTTGTAGGAGCCCCAGTGAGTCGTATCACCACTTGGACTGCAGGCTGGGGGTCTGTTGATCTTTGCAGGCCTTGAGCCCCCTTTAAGAGCTTGGATGGATCCCTGCAAAACCGTCTCCGCTCTTTCCCGAGGAAGGATTCCATCATGGACTGGGGGGCGAACCGCGGCCTAAGCTGGGCTGTGCTGATGCCTGGCTCGGAACCCTCCGCAGGGGTTTGCAGAAGGGTTCGAAGCTTGGGGTTCAGGCTTTAGGCAACTGTTTAGGGCATGAGTTGAATTTGAAGAATTTCAGGGCTAAGGCCAGAACTGAGGGCCTTAGCACGGTGTATTGGATTTGGAGGGTCAGGCATGAAGGTTCGCATGGCATCTTGCACAGGACTTTGAGGAATCGGTTTCGGGTTTAGGGCTTAGAGATCTGCTTTGCTGAAGGAAGGAACTGGGCACAGTTGCGGTGGTCTGTTGGCACGAAGACAGCAAAGGAAGCCGCAAGCCCCAAACCACGAGAGCCAGCCGTGGACACGCCAAGAGCCCTAGAAGAGTACAGGAAACGATCACCAAGACTCTTTGCTTCCCCGGATTGTCGCGCGTGTCGTAGCCGCGCGTATCGTAGCCATGTTTGCATCTCCGAGTGTGCAGCAAAACCTCAAAACCACAAGCAAACCCCGGAGAGTCCAACAACCTTTCATGAAGCCATGCACCGTGAATCATATTTGTGGAGGATCAGGAGTGCGTTCCTTAATGAAGGGGTCTTGGGCTCTGCGGGTTCCCTAAGAAAGCCAAGGAAGCACAAGGACTCCGGCAAGAAGGCTCGGACTCGGTGCCGGGCTTACCGTGCTCAGAACCTTGCGGTCTCCGGAGGTCATCATCTACGGAGCACACCCCGTATGCTGCGGCAATGAGCCCATCCATCTCCAGAACGCGCTGGACTTTGCAGAGCATGCCAAGACGCTGGTGCCTGGATCATCCATTTCATTGTCTTTGTTTCTGCCGGCTGTAATCGTAACAGTGCTGCTTGCTAGCAGCTGTTTGCACACAACCCAACCTTGCTTATGCGTGGAATCCTCGATCCTGAATCCCAAGCCGTTTTCTGAAAGGCTAGAGCTTCAAAAGCTAGCTCTGGGGGGTTTGGATTTACTATTACATGCACTGTTCTAACACCTCGCTCTCAACACTTCAGGGTCCAGGTCCCGCGGGGAACTGATCCTCACACTAATCACCAGGACCACATGGGCAATCAGGTAGCCACGTCGTTCGTCTTCACGTTCATCATCATCGTTATCATCATCATGTTCTTTTTCTTTGTCTTCGCTTCTTCATCATCGCCGCCATCGACTCTTCTAACTGCAGCTTCGGGGGTGGAACGTGGAGGCCACAGTGCCAGGAGAGCAGCCGAGTAATGCTAGCAAGCCTAGCCGCGCCTGTACATAGATGGGTAGTTCTCTACAGGGTCCCTTTTAAGGCTTTTAAGGGTCCTTATAAAGAAATGCCTGGCAATCCTGCCAGCAGCAAGCAATTCGAGCAGTCCCCCTTCTTCTTAATTTCCGATGCGTTGCAGTGCCTGGTGACCCCAAGCCTCGTACTTATCGGTCCCTGTCCTTCGCAGACTCCCTAGGCCGCAGCACTTAGCAAGAAAGGCAGCAGCGCCCAGTGCAAGGCAGATCTCGGCTTCGCATTTTCCGTCCAGCTCGGGCTAAAGCTGTTTGACGTGAGAGCAGCCCCGTTCCGTGCCGAGCTCTCGACCTGGCTCATGAGGGTGCGTCCCCGACAAGCTGAGAGCCACAAGGAAAGACAAGAAGCAAAGGCAACGTCAAAGGCGGCAAAGGCATTCTAGGACCAGTCAGACATAGAGATTGATTGGAGATAGTCATCACAACCAGACATGCAAAGTGTCGACACACTCGGTTCAGGTCATGAACACTGCATCAATGGAATCCTGGAGCTCAAAGCAGCATTCCGTGAGCCTTAGGGGTCGCATCGAGATAGACCTCACAGCAAGTCAGGTTTTTTCTTTGATGTCTTGGAGGGACGGGGAGGATGCATGGTTCCTTGCTTCAAGAGCGCGCCGCATTTCCAGAACATCGGAAGGGGGGCGCCTGCGGATTGGTTACTGATCGATTCATCGACGGCCTTGCTTTGGCAGCAGCTATACTGGGTGTTGCCTCCGCATCAATCCTGTTAGTTTTTGCGGAGAGGGAGCTAACTCCGTATGCTGCGGCCTTCAATCGTTTGGGGTTCGCAACCATTATCTTCGTGGCCTGGAACATTGGCCAGAGCTTCTTGTACCAGCTCGACGACGGGACCGCAACAGCTCCAGCCCGACCTCTTTGTGCGGCCTTTTGGATGGTTGTACCGCAAACTAAACTTTTGCTTTGGTGACAACATCGAATTCAACACCTCGCCCCAGCCAAGGCCCTCAAAACCATAGAAGCCCATGCTATGCAATGTTGAGCCGTCATGAAGCCCAGAATCCCAGGCAAGTGGAGCAGACGTCGCGCTGTTTCTAACTGCCGGCCTTGCCTTCTCGAGCTCTTTGAGCATCTGGGCCTGGTCACTCGGCTCGGGCCCAACTGTAAGGCTTTAGCGGTAAAGGTCCCAGGAGAAACGCAGCTAGGCGAAGAAACGGGGGGGGTTGTCTTTATGTGCGTCTTCTGACTCGACTCGAGGGATTCCGTTTCGTGGAGGTTTCAAATTGCCTCGTCACATGTCAGAGCGAATCCTAAGATTTCATTACACCCTAGGAAAGCAAGCATGCCTCCAAAAAGGAAGCAAACGCACAAACACACACACACACACACAGACACACAGAGACACACAGAGACACACAGAGACACACAGAGACACACAGAGACACACAGAGACACACAGAGACACACAGAGACAGA